ATAAGTACTCATTACTTTTATCTGACTGATTGCTTCACAGAACTGATACTGTAAAGTTTGCAGTAAAAGAAATTGCAGAAACAGCTGGAAATTATGTCCGCCACAAGCACATTAAACTCGCATCTGTAATCTCTTTAGTGCCCACGCTCAAGTCATGCCGCGACCATTTGATAACAATTAATTGCTTCTCAGAACTTGACGTGACGAATAAAATTTTGCGATGTGCTGAAATATTCCGCTACCTAATCCATAATTAAATCCTTGCAATTGCGTTATATTATCGCCGAAACGCTCAATTTTCAGCTGGTGACTTCGATATCAACGATGACACCAGCTGTGCGGGACTGACCACATCAAAGTCACTTCATCCAAATAGTGCGAAGAATAGCGTGACAAAAAATTCATCGGATGTCCTGAACCATCGTAAATCTGTTGCATTTCCAACACAGCCTCCTGGAGCCGAGGTTACACTGAAAGCAAATGGTACTTTAATAGTTGACTCAAAGGCTGACTCCGGCAGGCAGTCGTATGCCAGTGAACAAGATTACTACGAAAGCGGGAGCGAAATCAAACTGTGATCAAGTATTTGTTGGTAATTGCTCTTTGTACGATATCAGTTATGAGGCGATTTTAGCAACCCGGTGATTTTAGAGTGGTGAATGCATTTCTGTGTCAAAACATTGATAGTTTCACAGAATTTCCATTGGATTTCTCTCACCAACTGAAATGTTTCTGACATTTTCATAATGATGACCACTTTTCGCGAAAGAAATTCATCTGTAGGTCATATTGGATAAACGATGATGATGTATCCATTCGCAATCCGAAGTAAACTTCACAACTTTAGGCGCGACCAAATCATTTTGAGCAAATTTGATTACCTTGCACAACTTGCCCTTGTTGGTAATGGATGTGCATTTTTTCCATATTATTGAATTTCAACCTTTTGATATGTTTTGCCATATGCGTTGATTGTTTTCGAGCAAAACGAAGTGTCTAGTGAAAAGCAGTCCGTGTTACATGATATGTTATGATTACTTATTCATGAGCGTTTATTGAGTTGATAATAATGAATTTGATATCTTCTAAAATACAAATTATCACTAATGTACATATAATGCGATAATGCACTCACTCACTACTGCTGATCCATTGTCTCGTTGTTCTGTTTTGACGACTCCAAATGTGTTATGTATAGATAAAGCTATTCATTGGATCAGCGTATCCGTTTGTTGGTTCATATTGAAGTGCTATTTGGACATAGCTGAAACCTGACGTTACAATAAAAATATAATGAAGGAACATTGATTATGCTGGTAACAATGAAAATATTGTAACGATAACGACATGAAATTTGTTCCATCAATATTATGACGTATAGAACGATATCAATAATGAATACAAATCAGTTGAGATAATGCTCGCTTGTATTCAAGCAATATTTCAAGTGAATGACATATCATTATTAGAGCACAGCATCCGTAAACTACAAACAAAAAAA